TGTACCAAACAGGCCCTTAATATGATAAGTTGGAGGCTTCTGGGAGAATGGATCACCATCAACAAGAGATCTTACAAGTAAATCCCAATAAATACATGCGAAATTCCAACTCATCAAACCTTGAAAACTTAAACTATGAGATTTTAGATAGAGTTTGAGATTGCTTAAAGTGCTTTTCCCAACTGAAATGCAATGCTAAAAATGTTAATTATTTATAATTATATTTAAAAGAACCAAATTCCTCAAGCAAAGTAAACCAAGTTTTTCTTAGCCAACGAAGAATTGAAGAACCAAGTGCTAGTACTAAAAAATGCAAAGAGACAGTCTAATAAGGACCGCTGGCTGCTAATAATTACTGTATTTCATCTAAATACGTGTAATCTGCTTTAAGCGCCGGCGGAGCCAAGCTTCGCTCAGGGCTCCTGAACTTTTGTAAAAAATTTAGTTTGGTCCTTTATTTTTTAGTTTTATAATTTTTATCCTTACTTGTTTCATGCCATTTTAATCATTTTCTAGCATTTGTGTGTTGAAGATTACTTTTAATGATTAAGAGAAAGAAGGGGAAAACAAAGATAATATAAAATATGAGATACAGTAAAAATTATTGTATTTGAATAAAAATTTTTTATTATCAGTTTTTGTAAAGTGTTTGCTTCTTAATATCTTTACTTTCTTTTTTTAGCTCATAGTATATATTCTTTTACTTAATATATATATATGCTCATTTTTATCTTGAAATTAAAAGTGTTTATACTACTTTATCACCTACCATTAGTTTTAATTAAAAACTAATAAATGTTATTTAAAAAACTTTTTTGACTTTTTAAATTAACACACGAGGTCATTAATTTTTTGTTAACGTTTTATTTTTGCCTCCTAAAAATATTTTCTCACTCCACCACACCATTGATATAATGCAATTTGCAAAACTCTTAAATTTAAAATGAACACTTTCGTTTATTTATTTTATTCTTTAAATAGTAAAGTACTAATTATTTTTTATAATTGATTAATTAATTAATGGATTTTTTTAGTCTGTCCCCGTAAAACACAGAATAAGGGCACCTTTTGCAATATATTTGTATAAACAAATGTTAAAATAAATATTAATTTTAGAGTTAATATCACATTAATAAATTTAATTATATAGTTGATAAATTAAATATTACATTTTATTTGTTCAAAACTCTTAACTTTTGCACTTAGAATATAGACTAGAAAAACCCTTAATTAATAGAACCAAACAAAGCTTCATGCATACAAATGCACAAAATTTGCTTTTTCAATATTCCTGACTTCACTCCCCCTAAGGAGAAGAAAGACAGCCAGCTTAGAAGGGGGATGCCGCAAGGCTGATTCTCTCTCCCCTTTTCTTTTCCTTCTATTGTTCCTTTTTTTGGTTTTCCATTTTTGTCCCAATGAGAATTTTCATGTAATACCGGATTCTCAGGAGCTCCACTGGCTTGAAAAATTCGTTTGAACACAACGAATGGTATGGACAACAGAAAGATGCTTAAGATACCAACGAGGGGTTGGATCAAGTGGTAAGCGGTTTGTTCCAGCATAAGTAAGGTCTCGAGTTTGAGACCTTGTATACGTAGCAGCCCTCTGGGAGACTCACCCACCATTTCCAGATAAGCGACATGGGTCGAGTCCAGATTAGTCGGGATGAAGCCCCGGATACCGGACGGAAAACCTAAAAAAAAAAAAAAAAGATGCTTAAGATCTGAGCAAGTTTCTAAAGAACAAACTTTATTTTTATTTTTTATGTTATTCTTTTTTTGAACATAACGAAATTGGTTCATTTCAAACACCGCCATACGGCATCTACAGGAAAATAAACAGTAAAATTACAACAGGAGCAAGAAACTAGAGTAGACCCATTTCCAGAGGCCGAAGGGAGGTGCACAAGACACTCGAACAACCACTAAGGACCCAGCTATATAGTGGCCTTCGATCGAGCGATCCAAACGGGACACCCTTCAATCTACCCATGTGGAAGGTGCGCCAGGCTCCCGGATGCTGATGCAGAGACCCGATCCGGCGGAGGCCGATCCCTGGAGGTAGCAGGTGGGTCGCGAGGTTGCCAAATCTGGGATCCCCCGCGTACACCTCCACCAAAGAAGTTGCCGGATGGAAGGGACCACCCCCGAATCTGCAAACAAACCAAAAAACAGCGACCCCTAACAAGATCAACAGAAGAGAGTCGAGGGTCGCCAGATCTAAAAAACAAACTATACAAGAACACAAACAACCAAACAACAAGAAAAAAAATAAGAAAACCAAAGGGGTCACCAAAGGGGACCTAAGAACCGACAGACCCGAAAGGGTCGTCGGAGGAGGGAGCACAGTCCGGCTCCAACCGTGCTTGAACGGCCAGGAAACCCGACGGCTCAAGTATCAAAACCTCAGAAGCTCAAAGGTTTCCGAGCAAAAAACAATGCAGTGCCGAAGAAGGGGCAGAGGCAGGAGAGAAGGGGGAAAGAGAGAGAAGATTTTTTTTTCTCGTTATTTTTTATGTTATTCTTAATTGTAGGAATTGCTTTA